TAAAATCAATTAAAGTGTTCATTCCATTATTTCTAATGCAGCTTGACTCTCTTTGACTCCTCCTGTACCAAAGTATGTTATCCAGATTAGTATAGTGGGGTTGAAAACCTACGCAAATTATTTTTGCTGCTTATTCAATTTACTTGATTATAATAAGCTTAAGAAACTCCATTACTGAAAAGTATGCCACAGCTTCCCTTTCAAAAGTCAAAGTTGACCTACAGTAATCCATTTGTGTCGAAACTACATGAATCATTTTAGTTGCATAAATTGAAACTAAACGGGATTTTTTTTTGTTCCCAGCATTACTTTATGCTGGATCAGGAGAGTAATTGTTGAAATGAAGTGTTTGAAATGAAGTATTTCATTTATTTTATTTTCTTAAATGTGTATATATATAGTATTTATAGAGTTTTAGCTTTTAGTTTTAATTACTTTTTCTTATTTGTAAGTCGCTTTGGATAAAAGCGTCTGCTAAATGACTAAAAGTAAAAAGTAAAGTAAAGTAAAAGTAAGTTGAATTGGTTTTTGATTAAAGAGAAAGACCTGTTAGTGGTAAATGTTCAGTTATTTTTGACATTTGAAAGAGTTTCCGTTATGTTGAGGTTTTTTTATTGGTTTCTCGCAGGGATTGAAATTAACTTTTTCACTCACCAGCCAATTTGGCTACAAAATTTTTAAGTTACCGGCCATTCATAACTTCTACTAGCCAAAAAAAATGTAACTCTCACAGTGCACGTGAACAGATCAGTGTACGAGCAGTTATACAGACATCCATGTTAATACATTTCTTTAAAATGACAGCAACAGATCGCCACATCCCAGCGCGATCTTCATATCCGTACGGATCTGATCAGACGTTACTTTCGTCTTTCCTCTTTTGTTGTCCTCTCCAGTAAATCCACGCGCATCTCTGGCTCTTTGTTTTCCTTCCCGTGAGCGTGTGGGTAAGAACAGCCGGACAGGGACAGTGTGATTAGTGCACACACCCCTCCTCCCATTGCACCCTATCCCATTCTTGTCTGCACACCCTCCTTTGGCTGCCACCCAGCGCAGACTCTCAGTGTGAGTGTGTGTGTGTGTGTGTGTGTGTGGATCAGGTTTATGGGAATCAAGCACAGTAAAACCTGAATTCATCTATTACTTACGAAATGGCCGTTTATCTACTATGAGCAAAACGGTTTAATAAACATACAAAAATAAACAGGGAACATAGAATATACTAGCTATACTGTAAGGCTGAAAATATAGTTCATAAAGAGACAATGTCTTTAGTGCCTTAAAAAATTCATAAACTGTATTTTGTCTTTTTGATTAGTTTATTGCGTAAGTTTTAATAACGATGTTAAATGAGGTGTAGAAGACAAAACCGATCTTGAACAACCGACTTGTGACAGTCTTTTATTTTGAAAAGCAGGTGGAGAGTCTCAGAGGAGTACCATTAATCCTTTTTTTTTTTTTTTTTTTTTTTTTTTTACAGTCATTGGAGTAAAATGGGCTTGGACATGTTTCGTGAGATTTAGCTGTGGTCAGTTTCTGTTCTGGTGTACTGTTAGTTTCAGTTCCTATGTATTACACCATCGTAACGGTATAAGACTAAGAAGGAAGACTTTTCACTGTGGAATGCTATTAGAGAGTGTGGACTTTCTTTCATGTTGCAAATGTCATATGCTTCTGCTTAAAGCTCTCAAACCTTTCAATGAAATGATGATTAAAATGGTGCTACTTGTGAAGAAGGATTTTACATTTTGCTACAATAAATCAAAGCCTATTGAGATTTATTGCATTGTGACATTATTATCATGACAACTAACCCTCAAATCTCATCACCGTATACAAAACTATCTTATTCTTGGTACTATAACGTGAAATTACTGTATTACCGAATAGAATAAGAATCACCACTGAGATATAATTAGAATAAGAAGAATGAGTCTTCAATATGCGAAAACACTGCCAAAAATGGACATTGCCATCCGTGTTTTTATTTCCCCACTATCTTTCTGAGTTAAAATCAATTAAAGTGTTCATTCCATTATTTCTAATGCAGCTTGACTCTCTTTGACTCCTCCTGTACCAAAGTATGTTATCCAGATTAGTATAGTGGGGTTGAAAACCTACGCAAATTATTTTTGCTGCTTATTCAATTTTAATAAGCTTAATAAGCTTAAGAAACTCCATTACTGAAAAGTATGCCACAGCTTCCCTTTCAAAAGTCAAAGAGTAATCCATGTAATCCATTTGTGTCGAAACTACATGAATCATTTTAGTTGCATAAATTGAAACTAAACGGGATTTTTTTTTGTTCCCAGCATTACTTTATTCTTTTATTTTCTTAAATGTGTGTATATATATAGTATTTATAGAGTTTTAGCTTTTAGTTTTAATTACTTTTTCTTATTTGTAAGTCGCTTTGGATAAAAGCGTCTGCTAAATGACTAAAAGTAAAAAGTAAAGTAAAGTAAAAGTAAGTTGAATTGGTTTTTGATTAAAGAGAAAGACCTGTTAGTGGTAAATGTTCAGTTATTTTTGACATTTGAAAGAGTTTCCGTTATGTTGAGGTTTTTTTATTGGTTTCTCGCAGGGATTGAAATTAACTTTTTCACTCACTTATTGTTTATTGAACTGTTGTATAAAATCAATATCACATTTGTAACCAAGCTTTAAAAAAAAAAAAACGGCACTCTTCGTGTGATATTAACTGTATGAAATTATATAAATATATACATTTTCTGCCCCCTTATCTTGAATTATGTGATCATTCTTAATGCATATTAATATACTGAATCATGCAGTGAAAGAACCAGGAAAGAACGCACTCTAAATGCGCACGCACACTAAAGCCTGTGTTGGGCTAACCAGACTTCATCACGTAGTCTCTTATGAAAGAGTAACCCGCCAAATTGGCTAGTGATTTGACAGCGTTACCCACCATAGCTGATTTTTACCCGCATTTGGCGGGTTGGCGGGTGTTAATTTCAAACCCTGAGTATAGGTTTGTATCATTACATTACTTGCGTAAACTACGCCAGAGCGCGTACACACCTCACGCACCGGATGCTGTGCGCGCGCTCAAAGCAGTTGGACATAGTGGTGTATTAGAGGTAAAATATGATATAAATACTGTTCGGTTTCTCGCACAAACCAATCGTTTCGTGTCTTAGGACATCAATGTGTCGTCACGAGCCGCAGGGTTTAATTTGGATTTGTCTGTGCATGTTTTTTTTACTCTCATAGATTTTGTTACCATTGCCAATCATTATACGACTGATAGACTGCAACGGCTGGAGTTAAAAATCTCCGTTTGTGTTCTACTGAAGAAACAAAGTCACCTACATCTTGGATGCCCTGGGGGTAAGCAGATAAACATCAAATTTTCATTTTTGGGTGAACTATCCCTTTAAATGCGCAATATAACTGGAATGTAAAAAACAAAACAAAAAAAACAATCCATACAAAGAGGGCACATGGTACTGTATTAATATGAAGGTTTTTTTCTGTATTGATTTTTTACAGGTGTTTTACCTGTATTTTAAATTTTGCACTTCATTGCTTAGTGTTCTAGGGTAAACAGAAATGTTTGTAAAATTAACAGATAATGTCCTGGCGGAAAATAACCAGTACTCTTTTTTAAATTAATTAATTAATTAATTTTTATTGTGTATAAACACTAATACAGATGTTTTCATTTTTTTCAATAATACACTCTAAAAAATGCAGTAACAAAACAACCCAATTGCTGGGTTTGTCCATATTTTACCCATCACTGGGTTGTATTTAACCCAGCATTTTTTAGAGTGTAGTCTTGAACATACTGGAATCCACTCAATATATTGTAACTAGGATGGTATAACTAAAAAAACATTGAGTAAGTGCAACTAAAAGTGGATGTATAAAATTAAGAACATTTTTTTTTATCCAATAAAATAAAACAATTAAAGCTGCCGTTACTACAATAATGTTCCTGAGAAAGAGTTCCTTAAAAACGATACTCTGACCAAAGGCTAAGAGACCAAGTCATGAATGTGTTAAAGGAAGATAGCAAAATTTAGAACTTCACAGTTACGTTAGAAAAGCTTTTTTGCTAAGACAGGAAGTAAGTAAAGTGAGAAATAGCATGCGGGAGTGTTCCTGTTCTGCAAACAGAGTATAGATGTTTGTAATGCACGATGCTTTGTAGTCTGCCAAATGTGTAAAACGGAGGAAGTGGGTATATTCTCTTCACGCTTAAACATCTTTAGCGAATTTATTACATTCATCTATTCAGTTTGAGAGCCGTAAAATTACACCAAACATGAAATAAAAGTCTATTAAAACATAAAAAGTATCAGATATTCTACTATATAACCAATTACAAGTTTGCATCCAGGCAGAACTTTTTCAGGTTTATACAGACAGAGAAAATACTAATAAGGTCAATTGCTTTTACAGAATGAGTCATTATGCACATTAAAAAGTATGCTGCAACAGATACTCGCACAGAAACCGACAATTTGATGGTGTCATAGTTTCTTATAAAAAGATTTTGCCCAATTGTCACAAAGATGAGTGTTGTTGAATGTCAGGCGCTTTTATGTCAGAGTGATGTCAAAAGTTTTCAAAGGTGAAATACATGGTTACCAGTGAGATAACAGTGACAGTGGAAAGCTTGAAATGAAATTTCAGAAATGTGTGGAGGTTGGGAACAGGGTTTTGTTGAATGTGAATCAATGAAAAAATAAAATGCTACCATGCAAAACTTGCAAAAATATTATGCAATTATGCGACAATTGACGGTCGGTAGCCATCGACTTCCACAGTGTGTGAAGGTTGGGAACAGGATACAATTGAATGTGAATCAATAAAAAAGCCATGCAAGTTGATGACACATTTACATTTAGCTATAACATTAAGTCCCTGTAAAAATCAATTCAAGTGCTTAAGATACTTGACCTTACGGTGATTTTACCAGAAAATCTTGTGTTGTGTAAGACGCTCTTTCTCAGAAGACATGTTCTTACCTGCGTCTGTTTGAAAGCGACTCTTCTGTTTCATTGCTCATGAGAACATGACTCGAACCCCCTTGCCCTCCTTCATGCATGACTTCGATCTGTGGATCAGGATTCAGTTGAAAGAAAAACGGCTTTATGTATGAGCCGAATGTATAATGTTCGGTATCGGCAAGTACCAAAAATAAAAGTATCAGTATCGGGCGAGCACTGGAAAAAGTGGTATCGGTGCATCCCTAGTAATAATGATACAGTAAACTATTTGAAATTATTTTTAAAGGCAAGAACTAATCCCAGACTAACTAGGTTTTTAAATGCATTTTAGAATGTTTAAAAAAAACTCTTTCATTTATTTCAGATGTAACTGACGGGGACTGATATACCTTGATGCCACCTTTGGCTTTGCGAATATTCTTCCTTTTTGCCAACTCTGTGTCACTGGGCTGCTTACTGGCGCTGAAGTTTTCTGTAGCTTTGCGATTTGATGCTGTCGAATTTAAAACATTCATAATTTCCACTTAAATAATTCAGGATACAAAGCCTAACATTAATGTTTTCCTGTCAGAGACATCAGTATATTTGCATTAATATGAGAACTGGAACCCCAATGAGAGGTATTTAATTGTCAGCCTATTAACCTGAAATGAGGACATGCTTCTGGGAAAAAACATTGAGTGGTAAGAATACAAACAAATACCACTAATCAAAAGCAGTCTGGATATGCATGCATTTCAGTCAACATACGTGGTTTCTTTTAAACTCACTAGGTGCAGTGGGTTGTGGGATTTTAGGTGAAGGGCGTTTTGGTGAAGATTCTGGTCGAGGTGCAACAGGTTGCACTGGCCTTGTTTGCTTTGCAGACAGCTTTTTCAGACTCGCGTGTCTTTTCTCAAACATCTTTTGAACGTCATCCAGTCTTTTCAGAGCAGTTTGAGCTTTGATCTGCATGGGAAGAGATAAGAGTGGAAGTACGAAGATTAGAGAAAAATGCAATACTGGCTTTATTTCTTCAAATAAAATATCAGTTATTTATCAGAAACAGATGACCGGTATAATTACAACTACAGTGGACTCCAAAAGTCTCCAAAAATTCAAACCAAATTTGAAATAAATTAAAAATATTTAATATTCAGTACTATTTCTAGGTCAGTCATTGAATAATTTCAGTTCATTTTAATATAATTTACTATTTTCTTTAATAATAATAATCATGTAATTTATAATATTTTTAAGAAACAATTTGGTAACACTCCACAATAAACATCCTTAGTTAATGCATTAACTAAAATTAATTAACAATTAGCAATACATTTGTTACAGCATTTATGAATCTTTATTAATGTTAGCTAATAAAAATACACCTGTTCTTTGTTAGTTATTGTTAGTAATATCATATCATATCATATAAAAGTTTTGATTTTAAAAATGTATTAGTACATAATGAAATTACCATTAAAAATGATTAACTGATGCTTTATAAGAACTTTTCATTGCTAGTTCATGTTAACTAATGTAGTTAAATAAGGTTAACAAAGGAAACCTTAATGTAAAGTGTTACCAACAGTTTTATTAATGAATAAAAATAGACTTTTGGATTTAACTGTGTACAAATGTATTCAGCTGTAATCAGCTTCATTTGTACCTTGACCAGCTCTGAGATGACGATCTCATACTGGTTGCTGAGGTCTTTGAGGTGACTGAGCTGCTGCTCTTTGGCTGTGTTCATGTACCCCTCGATGTCCTGCAGCGCTGCTTCTGCACCTTCCTGGGTCTGGCATCTGTCTACAGCCTGAGAGGCCAACAGATAAACTCCACTCTCACACCACTGGTTTACCTGCCAACACACAAACACAGAGGCACATCAATGCATCTCTTTGTCCTGGACCCAGTTTAAAACTAGAAAGGTGAACAGTGCAGGTTATTTAACTTGGTAATATTATAACCCTTAAAAAAGGAAGCAGGAAGCTGCTGTAATAATTCTTATTTATTATGCAAACAGATCTAATTTAAGTCACCGACACATGGTGTTTTAATTGTTACCTACACTGAAAAAAAAATTGCTGTAGAAACCATTAGAAATTGATAGTAAATTTAACAAACAATTACTGAATTAAACATGAAATTTTAAAGTGGAAAAATTGAAATAGCATTTTCTTGTAAAACATACTTTAGTAATCTTTGGTTTTCTTTTCTTTTCTTTCTTTTTTTTTGAAAAATCCTTTTTTTAACTGTGTAAAACTACAATAAAACAGTTTTCGTTAATGAAAACGAAAAATAAAATATAAATATCAGATTAAACTTAAAAAAACATGAACAAATATTAGAAATACTAGTTGCCTTGGCAACTAACTGAGATAAGTTGAAATGTAAGTACTAAAACCACTAAAACTGAAATAAAAATAAATACAAATATTTAGAAAAAATGACAAAACAAGTGACAAAAGCACATACAATTATTAAAGCTTAAATTAAAATGAAAACTGAAAATATTCAAATAAGCTAATTCAGAATATTAATAGATACTATAATAGTATATAAATAATATACTATATGAAAGACTATAGAATACCCAAAACGTGTCACTCGTATATAGTTTTGAATGGGAAAAAAGGCAACGCTCAATTTAGCGGCTCTATCGAAGGAAGCCCCGCCTTCTGAATAAAAGAGCCAATCGGTAAAGTGGCGTCACTGCAGCTGCCGTTAGAAGTCCGGTTGCTATAGAAACAGTCAGCGTTCAGATACGTGCACTTAAAACTGCGCTTATGCACTGGCTGGTCTAGCCTGAAAAATAAGCTTTTTTTAACGTTATTGGAGCGAAAGAAACAACATTTATGAGACAGTTGTTGTCAGATTTCATTGGTGATTTCAAATATGAAATTTAATCGTAAACTTAGTGAACAGTTTTGTAGAATTTGATGTTTCCCCATTCAAAGGGATAGGAGCTGCACTTGAATGCCTGAGAGGTGTTTCAAAGATGGCCGCCGAGTGAAATGACTATATACATAAGCAAAATGGTACACTTCTTTAGTTAAATTTTCATTAACTTTTTTCTTGCTTTACTTTTAAATGAAACTAAATTTTCTAAAAATGGTTAAAAATTTTTTTTAACTAACTTAATTCAAGATACATAATGCAAAATCTAGTCTTACGGTTTTTACACTTTTGTAAATGTATTTGTCTTCTGACAATGTCATCTCTCAAAATCACCCCTTTGTCATGTCCTGAGTTAATCATCCAAAGATAAAAAAATCAATGTTAAGGTGACCGTGTGGTAATTTAGTAGGATGCTAGTTTTTTTCACGGACCTCATCGATGCGTTTGTGGATTTCAAGTGATTTGGTCAGAATGTCACGTTTCTTTTTGGCCTCATTGCTGAAGTCATCACAGATCCGACGCAGTTCGACACACTTCGGCCGAATGGAGTCCACGGCGTAGTGGTTACTTTGAATGAGCTGGTCACCATGCTGAGCGTGAAGCTGAGCTTTCTCCAAGGACTCCTGTACAGATCGAAAAACACAGTAAAGCTCAATACATTATGAATGATTTACACTGCTATCTTGACTATCATTAGTAACTGACTTGCAGTTTCACAACAGCAGCAACACTATGGTTGTGTCTTTTATTCGTTCTTGAAGTTCAGTTTTATTTACCGCATGCTTTCACACAATATCAGCACATTCTTGGCATTCTGAAAAAGGCCAAGAAAAAAAAAATATGCAGTGTCTTTCTAGATAAGCTGGCTGATTAATAGAGTTAAGATAAAAATCTAATAATCTAAAAAACAGCATTCTATGTTAAGGATGAGCATGAAAACATGCAAGTTGGCAACCAGTACTGCAGGTCCTTTCAAGGTATACTTGTGGTTTTATTCCTTGCAAACACTGCTGTGGCAAACTATGCTAATTTAAATATGTCTAAACAAAAGAAACAAAAGAGACAACTGTCTATATACATATTATACATTATAAATGTATTTACTGTCACTTTTAATAAATTGAATGTGTCCCTGCGGAATAAAAGTGTTCTTCTTTTTTTTTTTTTATTACTTACCCCAAACTTTGTAATGTAGTGTATCATGTTCACATAAAAATATTAAGCAGCACAACAAAACATTAAGCACCAAATCAGCATATTAGTTTTCTGAAGGATCATGTGACACTGAAGACTGCAGTAATGGCTGCTGAAAATTCAGCTTTGCCATGACAGAAATAAATTATATATTAAAACATATTAAAAGAGTAAACAGCTATTTTAAATTCTAATAATATTTCACAACATTACCGTTTTGACTGTAAAATTTGCAGCCTTTGTTCAAAAACATTTAATTATTCATTTACGTATTTTAACTATTCATTTGTTCGGTAGTGTATAGGATATATATATTTAAATATATGAATATGTATTTGGACAGTGATTGGGGGGATTTATACAGTGACTGGGTAAAAGTAAAAATCTAAACTACTGGTTTAAACCAGTCAGCAGAACAAATGCTCACTGTTGAGCCCTGTATGCTGTAATAACTGCTTTGCATACCAGGCCTGGTTTTAGATTCAAACGATTTTGACCTGAGCTTTGTCCTCCAAGGTTTTCAGATCGCCCAGTAGATGTTCCACCCGAGCCACACAGTCCCCGGTGTCAGAGAGGCCCAGCAAGGTCTCCGTCAGGCCATCCAGAGAAACTTTCACCTGATGCAATGGACAAAACAGACCAAGTTCAGCTTGGTTGACTAGACAACCGCTACAGGGATATTTGGTATAATGGCTGCCTACTAAGTTTACAGAGACTTCATTTGAGCACATCCATTGCACCGTACCTCTCTGAAGTCCTGCTCAAAGTGCCGTAACTGTAAGCACTGCTCTAATTTGAGGTGATGCCTCGACCAGAACTGTTCAAACGCATTCTCCGTCTCATCGAGCTGCGCTAACAACCTGAGACAAACAAACAAACAAACGCTTTTACAGTGTGCATGTCAGAGGAGCTGAAGTGAATTAGATTTCACAGAGGAACATGAGATGACACCAGGCTTTAAAGAATAATAACACAACTGTAACAAAATTCAAAATAAAATCTAAAAATACTTATTAATGTTCATGTTCCTATTGTGAATGGTTCATGGTTCAATGGTGCTCATAATCTTTCATCAGAATGTAACTTGTTCTGTGACTTTCTTTTTTGGCTGACGTTCCTGATGGTTTCCTGATGGTTAAAATCTCCTACAAAGTCAATATTCTGTTTTGCTCACGTATGTCATATTCCGAATATCACGTAGCCACTCAGAAATGGTTTACCGCATTACTGCATAAAAAAAAGAGAACTTCTGGCAAGATCCTCCCAAAGTTACGAACAAACGTTCTCTCAGTAACATTAATAGAATGTAATAGAATATAGAATTAATAGAATAAATAGAATGTTCGTTCAAAGTTATCTGGTCTGTTCTCAAGATGTCAGCACAAAAAACATTAACTTTTTTTCCTGAAATGTATTAGTTAGACATTTGTCTGGCATTTTTAAATATTACTATTTAGAGAACATTCAAAAGTAACGTCTCCATAATGTTTGCAAAATGATAAAATGGAATGTTCCCTTAACTTTCGCATAACCAAGAAGAAATGCTTTTAAAAATGGATGTTTTGAATGTTCAGAAAACATTCAGGAATAACATTTTCATAACAGAATGGAAATGTTAGCAAAATTATCTAGCTGGTCTTGTCTTTAATAATGTTCACAAAACGTTATCACAAAAACTAGTGCTGTCAAATGATTAATCGCGATTAATCGCATCCAAAATAAAAGATTTTGTTTAAATAATATATGTGTGTATACTGTGCATATTTATTACATATGTATAAATACACACACATGCATGTATATATTTAAGAAAAATATGTTTTGTTCATATAAAATATTAATATTTATATATAATATAAATTATATATGAATATAAACAATATATATACACACATATAAATATTTTAAATATATATATATACACATGTATGTTTCTGTATTTATATATACATCATAAATATACACAGTACACATATATTTTGTAAACAAAAACTTTTATTTTGGATGTGATTAATCGCGATTAATCATTTGACAACACTAACAAAAACAATTTTTATATGTCGACCATGCAATTTTTTTTTGTTTTCAGAAACTTTTTAGCCTGACATTCATCTCACATTTTTATGTTACAGTTTATTTCCAAATGTTCAGAGAATATTCAAATGTAACATTCCGATAATGTTTGCAAAATGATAAAATGGAACATTCACATTACCAACGTTCTTTTGTTAGCTGGGATTCTACTTAAGCTAGAGTATCATAATTAATGGTGTAACTTTCTTTGTTTGGCAAAATATTTTGACACACCTCTCAACAGTTGTTTGGTTCTCTACCTCATCCGGATTCAAAATGTGGCTCTCGGTTTTGCTGGCCTGGTCTTTGATACAAGACAATAGAGTATTTCCTTGCTTTATAGCCAATTTTAGCTCGTCCTGTGCAGAGAGATGGAAACGTGGCATATGAATGCTGAAAGAATTTGCATATGCAAAATATAGTAAATCATGATAAATACAGGTCATGTTTTGTTGTTCCACACAATGTTAGAAACGGTTCCCAAGGTCACGGAACCGATAAAAGATAACTGACTAATTCCACACACACACATATATATATATATATATATATATATATATAAAAAATAACTATAATAACACAGATTAAACAAATCATATGACAAAATTACAAACAACATGAACTACTGTTTCATAAAAGTGATGAGCTACCTTGAGCTTATCGTGGTTTTCGGTGTGTGTGATGAGCAAGTCTTTGGTGCACTGCACGTCATTGGGAAGTTCAGTTTCTGCTAGGTCAGTTCCAAACTGCTGCAGCATCTGTGCTGTGCTCTTCACGGTTAACGCAAAGTTCTCAATGGCCTAGGACACAACATTTTAACACAGTCTGAATAGATAATATAAATGGGAGCAGTCAAAAGGTTACATATCTTGCTTAGACAAAACTGAGCCTATTTATTTTGCACTGTGCATACAGTACATTTATGTTTTTGTGTCTTTTACATAAAAACACTTACACTTGAAATACGGACTACTTTGTCGATCATCTTGGTACTTTTCTGGACCTTGAACGTGGTGGTTACCTTGCTGTCTATGGGAGGGTCAGAGAGCCCTCAGATTTCATCAAAAATATCTTAAATTGTGTTCCGAAGATGAACGAAGGTCTTACGGGTTTGGAACAACACGAGGGCGAGTAATTAATGACACAATTTTCATTTTTGGGTGAACTAACCCTTTAACAGTCGGCCTGACAACGTCAGACCACCCATACAATGACTTTCACAGGAACCTTAGCCTTTTTATAAACTGTGGTAGCAAACTTCATAACTTTTGAGTTCCTTAAAATATGCATGCAAACATTTTACAGGGCATGTATAGTAAAAACTGTTGTGAGGAAAGTTAAAAGAATATTCTGGGTTTGACAAGCTCAATCGATAGCATTTGTGGTTGTTTTGACTCATCACTCATTTCCTTTGAATAAAAAAAAACTGAGGTTATAATGAGTCACTTGCAATAAAAATAAAAGGGGCCCATTTTTAGAGGATTTAAAAGCATACACGTGAGGCTTTTAATTTTATAAAAGCATTTCCATTTATTCTTCTGAATGCTTTTGTATAATTAGAGCTGTAAAACAGTTGAAATCCTCGTTTTTACAGTCTTTTTAAGGTTTTAGAGTTGATGGTGTTACATTGCAATGGCAACAAAGTTATAAAATTGGATATAACTTTACACAAAATAGCTTAGTAAACAATTGTTTACACTAAAATCATGTCATCACACTAAATTCACTCATACTGTTCACGGCTGTACTATTAAAACAATGGAAATGAATGGGGTCAATCTGTAAACATTAAAATACTCATTGTAAATGCCCCACTGATTTTTATGACTAACTATCTAACTCATCTGCAGATGACATTTTGTGAAATAAGTACAAGTGCATCCGGAAAGCGCTTCAATTTTTTCACATTTTGTTATGCTATGTTTCAGCCAATTCATTATTTTCCTCAAAATTCTACAAACAATACCCAATAATGACAACGTGAAAGAAGTTTGTTCGAAATCTTTGCAAATTTATTAAAAATAAAAAACGAAAAAAAAATCAGATGTACATAAGTATTCACAGCCTTTGCCATGACACTCAAAATTGAGCTCAGGTGCATCCTGTTTCCACTGATCATCCTTGAGATGTTTCTACAACTTGATTGGAGTCCACCTGTGGTAAATTCAGTTGATTGGACATGATTTGGAAAGGCACACAATGTACATAAGTATTCGCAGCCTTTGCCATGACACTCAAAATTGAGCTCAGGTGCATCCTGTTTCCACTGATCATCCTTGAGATGTTTCTACAACTTGATTGGAGTCCACCTGTGGTAAATTCAGTTGATTGGACATGATTTGGAAAGGCACACACCTGTCTGTATAAGGTCCCACAGTTAACAGGGCATGTCGGAGCACAAACCAAGCCATGAAGTCCAAGGAATTGTCTGTAGACCTCCGAGACAGGATTGTATCGATTGTATCAATAAATCTGCAAAGATTTCAGCATTGAAGGTCCCAATGAGCACAGTGGCCTCCATCGTCCGTAAATGGAAGAAGTTTGGAACCACCAGGACTCTTCCTAGAGCGGGCTGCCCGGCCAAACTGAGCGATCGGGGGAGAAGGGCCTTAGTCAGGGAGGTGACCAAGAACCCGATGGTCACTCTGACAGAGCTTCAGCGTTTCTCTGTGGAGAGAGGAGAACCTTCCAGAAGGCATCAAGCTATGGGTATGTTTTTCAGCGGCAGGAACTGGGAGACTAGTCAGGATCGAGGGAAAGATGAATGCAGCAACGTACAGAGACATCCTTGATGAAAACCTGCTCCAGAGCGCTCTGGTCCTCAGACTGGGGCGAAGGTTCATCTTCCAACAGGACAATGACCCTAAGCACACGGCCAAGATGTCCTTGAGTGGCCCAGCCAGAGCCCAGACTTGAACCCGATTGAACATCTCTGGAGAGATCTGAAAATAGTTGTGCACCGATGCTCCCCATACAACCTGATGGAGCTTGAGAGGTCCTGCAAAGAAGAATGGGAGAAACTGCCCAAAAATAGGTGTGCCAAGCTTGTAGCATCATACTCAAAAAGACTTGAGGCTGTAATTGGTGCCAAAGGCACTTCAACAAAGTATTGAGCAAAGGCTGTGAATACTTATGCACATGTGATGATTTTTTTTAATTTTTTTTTTTTATACATTTGCAAAGATTTCAAGCAAACTTCTTTCACGTTGTCATTATGGGTTATTGTTTGTAGAATTGAGGAAAATAATTAATTTAATCCATCTTAAATCTATAACATAACAAAATGTGGAAAAAGTGAAGCGCTGTGAATACTTTCCGGATGCACTTACTTATATGTGCACACTGCAGCACAAACTTCATTTCCTTAACATCAGAAAAGACGTAGCATGCAGATGATAATCTCATGCACCAGCATATGCAACAGCTGTAGACACATGAATGTGTGAGAAAGTTGCATTGACTGAATTTCACACATTACAAGCAGCGATAAGGCACAGTGCAGGAACCTCAGTGTTTTTGTAACAATGTCCCCTGTATCTTCTAATGTGGTGTTAAAACAGGGTTAGACATTATCTGCATCCAATCTGTAGGTTAACACCCTTTCAGACATGCATAATACAACAGGGTGACAGGCTCTGTCAATAATTTAGTGAATAAGTGATCATGGTTACAAACGCTCCAGACGAGCCATGCGCATCGTATGGCGAATGAACGGACATGTTGAGGGTCCAGACAGACAGAAGCATGCTTACCGGTACCTTCAATTTGAAGTCATCCCTATGTAACCTCATACTGACATCAGCGATGGCCCTCTGGAGGAGACGTGAAGGTTTCAGAACCAGAACAAGCTGGAGATTTCCTGGAAAGGAGCCCTTTGGGTCATGAAAGTAAATTAAACATTCAAGTAAACAAAGATTTGACTTTTTTTTTGACAATTCTGAGACATTAACTATATATACCTTTGTTAATTTATTATATTTATAAAGGTATAGTATAATATAACATTTATAAAGGTGTAATATGTATAATATATATATATATATAATATACAAGCAAAAATACTTAAGTGGTAAATAAAACAAAGGTTTTTGAAGTATGTTTTACAAGTATATAATACTTCAGTTTTTCTACTCTAAAATTTCATTTTTAATTCAGTGTTACTTGAATTTTTTTTTTTTTTTTGCCGTTGTAATTGTGAAATTTACTAGCAATTCCTGAGTGAGAATTGTTTCAATGGCAGTTTTTTTTTTAGAGTATTTATATTACATTTTAAAATTAAATTACATTTGTTTAAAATAGAATGTGACATAAAACAGGTAACCTCCTCTGATAATAATAATAATAATGTTTATATGTATTCAGATTCTTTAGTGATTTAATTTGACAATTTAATAAAATAAAAAGAATATTTTGAATAATATGACCTATTATTATTACATTATTATTATTATTCAAAATATTGTTTTCATTTTATTAAATTGTAAAAATGAAATCACTAAAGAAAAATTACTATTGCAATAACACTCTTGTTGAATATAAAACTTACTGTAAGATAAAAAAATGAGTATTTAAAACTTGAATACACAAAGGTATTTTAAAAATAAAGTTCAAGTGTTGCTGTCATTGAAGCAAATACTAAGATTTTTTTAATGCTTATAATTTGTAAAAGAACGTGTGTGTGTGTGCATTTGAATAATATTCAAAATTGAAGTATTTTTAATAGTCCAACTGGACCCAGCTTGTTCGATTTCAGTTGATAGGCCAATCTATTGTATATCTTGATTCTGTGCATCATGTTCTTTTTTGCTCGGAACTGCATTGAGATCTGTAAACGTCATGTTAAAGTGCTGTTTTAACTTCACAAAGCTTCAGCAAGAGCCTGTACAAACCGCTATCCGTGTCAGAGAAGTGATTGCTGAGTTCCATTTGTCCTTCCTGCGGTCCAGGATGATGATGAAGCCAATGCTAGCGGCATCCATGCTGAAGGATGAAGGACAGAAACACAGGTCGGGCATTGAAATCAAAACCATCAGACAGAAATCAAACAGAGAACTGCTTGTTCTTACAGTTGGTTTCACTACATATTTTGAAAATCTTTACCAATGACTATAAACCTTAGAAAAATAAATGAGGTTTCACCTTGGTATGCTGCTCAGGTATGTGACAACATTAACAAAATCCTCATCTGACACCTCATTAAAACTTGAGAACTCTGGGAAGGTGATGATGGGAGATCCGTCTTTTCCTCTTCCTCCTGTAAAAGTGTCATGGACTTTAGTGCCTAGTTAATTCATAGTTATCAAACCTGAGGAAAATAAGTTTTAGCATGTTAAATGGCACTCCGGCACTTTGTTTACACACTGTGTGTGTGTGTGTGTGTGTGTATATTTATTTATGCATTTATTTATTTCCAATTTCATTAGGTGTCATGATTGGCGCACAGTCTCTGTGTGCACCTAAACTGAAACTATACACCTTGTGTGAAGTCACATGCAGCAAAAACCAGGTTTGAGAACATTAAAACCATGACCTAAAGATTTGATTTATTTATTTAACAGTTCTGACATTAAACATGTAAACCCCATGAAACCATATAAACACTTGCAACCTATTCTAAGTCTTTCAAACGTTTGAAAATAATTGAAAAAGTAATTAAGTGATATTATTTATATTTATATTTCATATATATATATATACATGGACTTTAGTGCCTAGTTAATTCATAGTTATCAAACCTGAGGAAAATAAGTTTTAGCATGTTAAATGGCACTCCGGCACTTTGTTTACACACTGTGTGTGTGTGTGTGTGTGTGTATATTTATTTATGCATTTATTTATTTCCAATTTCATTAGGTGTCATGATTGGCGCACAGTCTCTGTGTGCACCTAAACTGAAACTATACACCTTGTGTGAAGTCACATGCAGCAAAAACCAGGTTTGAGAACATTAAAACCATGACCTAAAGATTTGATTTATTTATTTAACAGTTCTGACATTAAACATGTAAACCCCATTAAACCATATAAACACTTGCAACCTATTCTAAGTCTTTCAAACGTTTGAAAATAATTTAAAAAGTAATTAAGTTATATTATTTATATTTATATTTCATATATATATATATATATATAGTTCCTGGGGTGGGGGGGTCCCGGACCTCACATAAGCATTAAGGGACCCCACATAAAGCCCCAAAAAATGAACTTGGGCGGGGGCTCCCCTGGTTTTTAAAAAAAGGTTTTCTGAGCGATAATGAGGGGGAAAAAAAGAATCATATTTAATTTAAACAAACCCAAAAATAAAAATATGACAAGAGATTAAAAGAAACGTGCTAAGTTTGCTATGACGTTGATTTCTGTGGAGAAACGTATAGTTTTTATTTATTTATTTATCATTTATTTATTTTTGAAGGGGGGCGGGGGTCTGGTTAGGGGGACCCCCCAAGAGCTTTGACACAATTCGAACCCTGGTTTCTGTGCCATCAAACCTAAACAGAAACTACACACATTGTGGGAAGATGCATGTATGAGTTGGTGTGAGTCATTATGACCTACATAAGGTTTTTTTTTCAAAAAACAATGAAGTTTCATTTCATTTCATGAGTTTCATTCATTCATGGGACATGCTTCTGACATTATCATTGATTCTTAAGTATTCACCACATCCTTCTACGTTTTATTTGACTTAATATATTTAAATGTATTATTATATGTTTTTATTTATTTATTTTATTTTGTTTAGAAAAATAAGAACCACAGCTCCTTTCAACCACAAGGGGGCAACAGTGGAATCAGAGACATCCATTGAGTTCAGACACATCAATAGAGTATTATACATACAGCACTGTTTTGAAAATGTTTGTTAGCTAGCTAACAAAAAATCTGACTCATAAAGTTAATAAAATTAAGATAATAAAATTAAACGGTTTACAAATATTGTTACATATACCGAATTAATAAATTTTTATGCTCACATACATTTACATTCTTTATGATGCTATGTAAATTCATTAAGTTAAAAATTACGGTTTATATTTTTGAGTCATATGATCAATTACATTTTAATTTTACTTGATACAATTTAATATGGAAGGGACAATGAAATATTGAAAACCTTTAGTTAATATTCTGTATTTTTTAACATATACGGTCACATTTTTACCGTAAAATGTGTTTGAAATTAAATACCCCTAAGACCCCTGCTGTAGATCACACAATCTAATCTAAAATTCCTCTAATAACAGATTATGGTATCATTTTTAAATGATTCAAATAATTTTAGCAAACTGTTCTCCAGTGTGAATATGTAATCGCCTCTTTAACAGGGATTCTTCTCATTGTGCTCATTCCTGAGGGCAGTTTGAAGAAAGATGTGTTTGTTTGCAGTAATGAGGCAGATCCACTCAGAGGTCATATGTCCATCCATTTTTAGACTTGCCGCAACTCTTCACTTGGGTGATGTCTAGGTTACTCTTTTAATAGTTTACCAGTAAAGAAATAAAGTTTCCAAGTGTAGACAAGGAAGTGCGCGTTTCATTTCCATTTATATTTATAATATGCAAATCAAGCCACAAAACCCTCCAGCCCACATCCACAGTCTTATTTGGAACATCACTGGAAAAACTTCACCCACCTTGTGGTTGAATGACTTCTCTTGAAAATTATGGCTTATATTGGACACCTATAAAACCAGATATAAAGAACCTGTAGCAACTCCTGGTGGATAGTTTTTTTTTTGTCTCTTTTGATTTAGCAATCCCATACCTAGCAACCGCATAACAATACACTAAAAACGGCTCTGAACACCTTAGTCACCATATAACGAGACCCTGCCAGCCATCAACAACACCTCAGCATTGTGACAAAGCAAGAAGCAATCTTCAGAAAATGTAAAAATCCCATATATTTTCAGAGGTAAAAACAAATTATCATCATAATCTGGTAAATGCATGTTTATATTTAAATGAATGAAATCTAAATAAATACACATATATAAGTTTTGATATATTTACGGTAGGAAATGTACAAAATATCACCATGGAATATGATCTTTACTTAATATCCTAATGATTTTTGGCATAAAAGAAAAATCGATCATTTTGACCCATACAATGTTTTTTGGCTATTGCTAAAAATATACCCAAGCGACTTAAGACTGTACACACACACACACACACACACACACATATAAAATAAACAATGTAATAAAAATAAATAAGAAAAAAATCCATCTATCTATCTAGCCATGCGCAAACATATATGCAAGTGAAAATACACACACACACACATATTCATATGTCCTCCTGGCTTTGTCTCGCTTGAAAAGAGGCTAATTGTTTGATGCGTGACTTCTGACCTGATTACTTTTTATCTTCACTAGTCAACGAGACACATTTGAAGTCTATTCTATTACATTTCTGGTTGTCCCCTGTGATTCACAGAGTCCTAATGGACGACACCAAGCTTTTCAGCGGAAAGCAGCACTTGAGGAGCCAGCTAAATAGATTGCACAAAGTATGCTGGGATTGTTTTTCTCTGTAACATTATGTAACTGGTGCAGTTTTGATGGCTGGTGCAGGCGTCTTGGCAGATGAGGAGACAGGGAGGCAGGCCAGGCCTCAGGAGATCTGACTGGGTTGGGAAGGAATGGAATAGCTCTCCAAGGAGCACCGAGTCTGTAGTCGCGATGTCCCTCCCACTTACATCAGTTCAGTGTGTAAGTTTTTCCACCCTGTTTTCAGAGAGCTCTGCTTGTACTGAATATGGTAAACACTGCCGTTTTATTAGTTAATATTAATTGTTTTGTATAGTCAATTATCCTACAGTACCACCTGGCAACTTCATGACCAAGGCTTGATCAAATTAACTAAAAATAGAGTCAGTTACATTTTATACGTGCCAGTTGTCACCAGTTGTTTATATCTTGAGTGGTTGCCTAATTGTTTCATTTTCATTTGAGACATATTAAGCAGGACTGTGGCGTAGCCTAGTGGTTAAAGACCGGAGCTGATAAACAAAGAAGTTTCAGTTTCAAACACGGTGTAAAAAAGAAAAGAAAAAAAGTCAAATGAATAGTTTTAAAAAGTTAGAAAAAGTTAAAATAAATAAAGAGTCATGGCCTGTAAGAAATATTTATGGCTGTTATATTTTCTCAATTCTCAAGTCAGTGTGACTAAAAGTTAATTTTGGATGCTGGGTTCCACAAGCAAATCACAAAGGGAGATTCACCAAGGTGCCCTTGGATATTTCTCGATTCGTTATTATATAATACGCATCATGAGAAAATGAGACCGCAGAAGTCTATTTTCTCTGATTTTACGTGCTAATGAGCATCTGAGGAAATGGAGAACTGGGAATTGTACAACAGTGCTGACATGAGTGAGTGTGATTCGCCAGCATTAACCACCACCACAGAAACCTGACCCACATTCATTCTCACAAATAAGAAAGGGTCAAAGTTCAAAAGCATCACCAATAGCTATAGAGAAGGAAAGTAAATAGCTTTTTAAAAAAAAAAAATATTTTTTTTTATCTCAACCTGAAGAGCAAACAGACATATTCATTTCTCACCTGAAAGAAGAGCAAACTGCCTGTGAAGTTGTTCAATTACGTCGACCGCCAGTAACGGCCTGATCTCCTGCTGCATAATCTCATCTGTGAGGAAAGACCAGAGAGCACAGGAGCATTAGAAATCACTGCAACATGCATATAATTCTACAAAAATCACATTCAGGATATCAGTAAGATACAGAGTCACGGGGGGCATCAGTAGCCCGACCCTTCAGAGTGACCGTCTGCTCTGGAAGGAGTTTCCCCTCTACAGCTGCTTCCTTAGAGACGACCTTTAGCCATCAACACAGCCTCTGGTTTGTATCCGTTCATCAGGAAAGCGCTCCTTCAAACAAGCCATTCTTTTATGCCCTTGGCTTTACAAAAGAGCGCTCGAGTGCTTCTATTCTCTACTGATCTACTGAGGGTCACCCTAAAGCCCAATGAAGTCTGTAGACGAACAAAAGTTCCTCTGTACACGTAAAAGACTGCATTAACATTGACTTCTCTTTATCAGACCCTGTTAAGTCTTGTGAGGAAACTTGCTGTGGGCTACAAACAATGCCGATGAGTTACTACAGAAATTTTGGGATGTATTCGGGATGCGCAGATGTTAGGAAGTCTGGCAAGTTGAAGTTAATATCCTGAAATCACTAGTCAAAATTTTGATAGGCAGCATGCCGTAAACAGCAGAACAACCTCGCCGACAGAAATGAGCATGTTTCGAGACTTTTTTTTTTTTTTGGAGCGTGTTCTACGGGAAGAACAATGTGCGTCAAGGAGCATGTGAAAACCAGATGTTATCAGCTGGCTGTGTAGTCGAAACCATTGACATGTCCATGAATTACAATAAGAAGCCAAAGACTTCCCCCGAGGAAAGTCACAGTAACCGGATCATACAGGACCACTCCTATCGACAGAAAAAAAAACAAACACTACTTTTTTTGAGCAATTCATAAAAAAGGCATGCAACAAATATCAGCAAAATAAAAATTTAATATGCAAAATGTGGAGAGATTTACTTGTTTTCATTCAACGATTGAACAAAATGTATTTTTATAGCCAACTGAAACTTAAAAATACTTTTACAGTGGTTTTATCATTTAATCTCAAATTCTCACAAGTTGCCTTCAAATTAACTTAAATTATCTTTTCGAATCAAATATACAAATAAATGTAACTTAAAATTGCAGATAATATAAATCAGTTTCTTCACCAGAAGAAGCCAGTTACGTGAGTTTAGGGGCAGGGCTATCTGTTTGCCAACCAATGGAAGACGAGAGTCTTCCACACTTCACATTTAAACAAAATTCTGCTTTTTACCAAGGATAAAATGTCATTGGCCTAAAAAGAACAAAGACCCCTGATCTAACACAACATCATCATTGTTTTTTTTAATTATTATTAAGCATTAAATTCCCTATGCAGCAGCAGGTTTTCTGTAGCAGGGCAGATGATGGTCAGCTTGCCAAGATATTAAACCACAGGGCACAGAAAAACAGCTGTCAGTTACAGGCTTAAGCACACGACACATATAAAACGCACACACAGTTCATGCAGACTCACGCTCCACTGCCTTCTGTGTTCAGTGGAACTGGCTAATTGTCAAACTAGACCACAAATCCCACTCTGACCCACAGAAGACTGTGAAATGTGGAAAAAAACCAACTAAAACCAATCCAAATACTCCTTACCTTAACTTAAAGGGATGATTTTAGAAAATACTTTCTCTTGTACCAGCTTAAAGGGATAGTTCAACCAAAAATGAAAGATTGATGTTTATCTGCTTACCCCCAGGGCATCCCAAGATGTAGGTGACTTTGTTTCTTCAGTAGAACACAAACGAAGATTTTTAACTCAAACCGTTGCAGTCTATCAGTCTTATAATGGCAGTCATGGGCTCCACGGCTTCGAGAGTATACGTACTCTGGCATAGTAGACAGATATATACAAGTAGATGCCTCATTAATGACTGTTTCTATGGGCCGCGATACATTCCAAAATGGCGTTCTAAAGATATTTAGAAGTACAGGTCATCACAATGGAAGACGATTTTGATATATCATCAGACAACGTGGAATTTTTTGCCCAACCATATTTATTTGACGTCACGCGCCGGATGTTGTGAACGCACTCAGGACAGTTGGACATTGCGGTGGATCAGAGGTAAAAAAAATATATAAATACTGTTCAGTTTCTTGTGTGTATGTTTTTTTTACTCTCAAAGTCGTGGAGCCCATTGACTACCATTATAAGACTGATAGACTGCAACGGTTTGAGTTAAAAATCTTCGTTTGTGTTCTACTGAAGAAACAAAGTCACCTACATCTTGGATGCCCTGGGGGTAAGCAGATAAACATCAAATTTTCATTTTTGGGTGAACTATCCCTTTAACATGCGGAAGAAAATATAAGATATTTGTAGGATAACAGCAACATTGGCTCAGCCAATAACGTGAGTTTAGGGGCAGGCTATCTATTTGCCAACCAATGGAAGACGAGAGTCTTTCACACGTCACATTTAAAAGAAAACTGCCTGAAGCACTGAACAATGTCTGAACTGCTGTTTTTAGCGGATTAGCACATTTCAGAAAGTTTTGTAGAGCTGCATCATCCAAATTTGCCCAAAAGCACTTCTAAAAGAAAAGGAAATGTTTTACAAACTGGTGAGTTTCTCAAAGAGACATTTCAATATGTTTTTAAGGATGCAGGATGAGTTTGCTTACATAACAAGCAATCATTCTTATATCCACAAAGCGTGGCAGAAAAAGATCACATTTCATAGAGCAGATTTATAATTGTATTAGTATTGATCACAATAACCCAAGGACGCATGATATGAGATGCTTTAAATACACTGGCCTTGGTTTATATACAGAAAGAAGCTTTGCTCAGGATGTCAAAAATCGAAGCGAAGTGAGGCTCTTAACTATGACCGCTTTAGTTTGTTTGATTATTGTGATTTGAATTTTAACCATTTCATCCAGAGATTCTATCATCTATCACGTTTCTTCAGTTGTGTTGCAGCTGCTGAACCAATGAAGAGAGGTTGATATTTGTGGAAAGACTCTGTATTGTCTCAACTCACTTTTTCCAGCCGCATGACTTACTGTTTTAAAAGAGTTTCCTCCATGGAGAACCGAAAGAACCTACCAGCTTCTAGCAAAGTCTCCATTGAGGGTTATGTATTAAAAAAATTTACATGTTTTGGAGTCCAGCTGGACGGAGCATGAACAGCCTGAGAGAACAACTATGTTTATGTTCCACATTTCCCCAAACGTTAGTGTTTTCAGCTCATGCCTTTCAATGCCTTTCCTTCCCACTGTGCGCCAGTTTAAAAAACTGCAGTGTTCAATGGAGATCTAAATCCCATATCGTTGGTCTGCATGGTCACAAAGAGCTAGACACACCTAAATTTATGTAAAGTCTTTCAACAGGGTACACCATGACCATTCACAAGAAGCATTATGTTAATTGTTCAGGCTTGTTTGCATTGGGCTGTCTGGGTAATTACAGAGCTTGTTAATCACTCAGCCCTTGAGCAGGAGTTCAACAGTCAGATGATCAAGTGTCAATCACCTGTGCCGTCCCCACCAGACAATACTGGCGTTTGTCCTAGCATGGGTCAGGATGTCAGAATCAATATGTTAAACTCACTTACAATTGCAATTGCTAAACACTCTAAACTCGCACACTTAGTTCAACACTGATTGCATTCACATGCAGTGAGGAGTTCATGCAGTGGGGAACACTGTGACCAAAATTAGCCGAGGGGCATGAGAGGACAGAAGGATTCCGAGGGTGGAGATCTGCAAAAATCCTTCCGTTAGTATCCAAAAGGCATAAGACGGGTGAGAAAAAAAGTCTCACAGCCAACAAGACCTAATTGTCTTATGATGGGTCAATGACATGATGTGCATTGTTCGTCAAATTAATATATTTTGAAAAACAAATCAACAACACTTGTATAAACATGATTTTAATTTCTGAATTATATAAAATTTTAAGTATAAAAAATTAAATGTATTTTAATGATTATTAAATAATATTAAAAAATGTATACATTTTTTGTATTAATTTTGTGGCATAACGCATTAAATGCATTAAAAGAATTCTTGGGGGGGAAACTTAGTTTGGCATAATCTTATAATATTTTGAGATTAGATGCTATAATACCTTTTTGAAAAACAAATCAACAATGCTTTTATAAACATGATTTTAGTTTCTGAATGAAAATACATTTTAAATTAAAATTAAATGTATTTTTAATTATTAAATAAATAATTTTTAATAATAATTTATTTATTATAACGCATTAAATGTATAAAAAAGAATTCTTGGGGGAATAAACTTAGTTTGGCATAATCTTATTATAAAATTTTTTTTGAGATGAGATGCTATAATACTTTTTTTTTTCCAAAACTGTTTGAAACAAACACAGATACAAAGAGTAAATCTCCACGAACTTGACATGTTTGAAACTACATTTTTCCTTATATAGGACAGTCTTTAAGATCATTGACCTTGATACCTCTTGTTCCAGGGCCATTGGTATGGAAAGCACCCTTGTGTACTGAGCAAAGACAAACTTTAATGGATTCAATCATCAACTGCTGGAATAGAAACCATGCACCAATCAGCTCTCAGAGGTTTCATCTTCCTTTTTCTGAAGCTACTCATGGTTTCATTCGGGGTCAATGCATCAAGGGTTGCAGTCAAACAGCGGACACTGATGCATATCATCATGTAAACAAATCCAGTTTGGACTGTAGGGGGTCTCAAAGTGGTTCCGAACATCAGCACCTACAGTGCACACTTTGAGAAATTTCTACCAGCTCTAGGTCGTTATACATGCTTTTCAATGAAACACTGAGCGACTATTACAGAATCAACACACTAGCTTCACTTCACAGCCTGTCTGAATCCCATTGGCAGACGTTTAAGGGGCGTCCACAGGACATCCAGTCCATTGTCCCGCTCTGCTTCCCTCTGATCTTTATAAATTAGTGCTGCTGTATGGCAAAGGAACTTCAAGACAAGCCTGAACAATTCAGTCTCAGGCAGCAAAATAAAATAATCATACAATCAAAGCCCTGTGAGCTTAAT